TCAGACCTGGAGCTTTCACAAGAATGCCAACAAGGTAGGGAGGCTCGTGTGAGCACATCAAGCTTGGCTGGTCTTCTGGCAAGGTCCTGGGGCAGCCGATGGTGCTGGCCTCTTCCGCGGGTGCATGAGTCCAGAGAAGATGGAGATTCCCTTTTTACGTGGAGTCACATGGAAAAGATGAGGGGTAGTACAAATTACTCCTTGGGAGATTCTGATTGGACACTAGAGGAAAATTTTTCCCAATGAGAGCTATCAACCGTTGGAATAATCTCCCTAGGGAAAGGGTGGATTCCCCAACATTGAACACTACTAAGATTCAACTGGACAGGGTGCTAGGCCATATTGTGTAGACCACGCTTTTGCCAAAAAGGGTTGGACCAGATGATCCTCGAGGTCCCTTCCAGCCTGGGAGTCTGTGATTCTGTGATTCCAAGAGCCCACAGCAAACTGGTCCCAGGGGCAGCCTCGCTCCCATGCTGCTTCTGCAGCAAGGAAAAGTTGTTTTCATGTTCTAAATTCATTATGTTAAACCCACTTTGTTTGTCCTCATTTCACAGCAGCTGTTTGAATAAAGCAGCCTGCCTCGGTCAGCTCACCAGCGGCAGAAAGATACAGGGGCTTTGGGATCACAGCTCCCAAGGGCATCCCCAGCCCAGAAACATTGCCAGTGATGCAGGTTCCCATGCATCTTGACATTATTTTCCGTGTTTCTATAAGTATCAAATTCTGAGTTCATAACAGCTACTATTTACATTCTTCCAAATGTCAGTACTTTTGGTCCTTGTAATATTCAGAATACCTTTTGCTCTAGTTGCTTTTGCTCTTGTTTTATCGAGCCGTTGTGTTGGAAATGCTCACCTTGCTTGGACTAGTTCAAACACTGAAACAAGCAGCCGGTGAGATCTCTGCTCCCCCTGTAACCCCAACGGGCTCAGGAGGAAGGCTGGCATCACCCTCCAGGGTCCCTTGTGGGATGAGCCCTTCAGAAATATCTTTCTCTTAATTAAAAGTATTGAAGGCCGAGGTCCCAGGTTTCAGTGTATGCTTTGTGGGGGTGTCAAAGCCCACTGTGGGTACCCAGAGCTGTGTTAGCTCTTTGGAAATCCAGCTTGGTAGTTCTGCAAACTGGGCTGCTTTCCCCATGTTTGGGGAGTAAAGAGGCACTGGCCCCAGGTGAAACAACCCCATTTCCTAACTTTAGTTAATATTTTCTGTTTAATGAGTTTCTTTGAAATACAAGGTACCTTTTATTTACATTTTTATTTACTCTGAATATTCAGGTAGTTTTATTTAATGTCTGAAAGCCATTCAGAAAGCTTTTTCCAGCCCATTTTGCATGAAACACCATGTTCCTTCAAAAATCAAATGCATTTTGTAGACATATGGGATGCTTGTGGGAACATAAAATAACAATCTGACAAAATAAACACTAAGTTAAATAAATTCTTAAGTAAAAGAGGTATGGCGTGGTACACTGATTAGCAGAAAGGGGTGTCATTCAACACCCAGACTATATTTGGCTGCAGATCAACATATGCTGATACTTTTCAACTGAATGAGAATGAACTGGATTTTAGGAAAACAATTTTGAAGAGGCAGAAGAAGAGTCACTTGGGTGACACATCACATCTTTGCTGGATTTCAAGCCATGATGCTCAGGAGCTCTTTTGACCTTGCTTTGGGCCTGGCACCTCTTGAGCAGAGGCTGCCTGCTGAAGCTGCCGGGGGTCTTTCATGTGAGGTTTGCTATCAGAGGAGGAATGAGATGAGCTGAGTCTGAGGCTCTGCCATAAATACCAAGCTGCTATTTGATTAGAATAGCTGCAAAGCAAATGCAAGTAGATGTTCAAGACATCTCCAGTACTGTCTCCTGGAGTGTGTTGGCTGAGGCTGCTCCGGGTGTACCAACACCTGGTAGGAGTGTCTGAGCGCCAGTGTGCACCAGGGACAACTGACCCTTCAGAGATACTGTGTTGCACGGGTCCCCCCCTGCATAGAGGCTTTGAGAGCTGTTCCAGCCCAGCAGGAATGGAGCCCTTTGGTTCAGCTCTCTGGGAGCTGTGACGCTCTTAAGGGTCAGCTCCAGCTGTGCTGGTGGCCCTGAAAGTCTCAGGGGGAAACACTCATCAGGAGTTTCTTCTCTTCATTGTGTCAGTCTCTCTGTATCTTCTTTGTGATCCTTTCTGAGTATCCTGTTTTCCTATCCCTTTTCCATCACCTCTTCTCCATTTCTCCATATCTCCTGCAGGTCCCTGCTCTCTGGGTTGGGCTGCATGAACAGTCTGCAGGGTGAGGTTGGGTAACACATCCATCCCTTTCCCCCTGCAGCAGTACTGTCGGCTGGTCCTACCTTGCAGAGAGTGATGCTGAGTGCCTGGGATGGGTGTATGAGCTGTGGCCCATCAGTCACATGCTGTTGCTTCTTCTGCATGGTTGAAGAAATGCACAATTGTTTCTTGCTTGACACAGTATCAAATTTGGCTTCTCTTGAGACTTGTGCACCAGATTGGCCTTCTCTGGAAAGGGAGGCTTTCAGTCAAGCACAGAGGGACTGGGGGATGCTGTTGGATGACAGACGGAACACAAGCCGGCAATGTGTGCTTGCAGCCCAGAAAGCCAAGCATCTGCTGTGCTCCATCCTCAGCAGCGTGACCAGCAGGACAACGGAGGGGATGCTCCCCCTCTGCTCCACTCTCCTCACAATCCCTGGAGCACTGCCTCCAGCTCTGGCATTCCCCAGCACAGGGCAGACATGGACTTGCTAGAGCCGCTCCACAGGAGGCCACCAACATGGTCCAAGGGCTGGGACACTTCTGCTGTGGAGAGTTGGGGTTGTGCAGCCAGGAGACGAGACAGCTCCAGGGAGACCTTCCTGTGGCTGCTCAGTACCTAAAGGGGCTTCTAGGAAAGAGAGAGAGAGACTTGTGACCAGGGTCTGTAGTGACTGGACAAGGGGCAGCAGTTTTAAACTGAACAAGGGTGGGCTTAGGTTGGACATGGGGAAGAAATGTTGTACCCTGAGGGTGGTGAGACCCTGGCCCAGGTTGCCCAGAGAAGCTGTGGGTGCCCCATCCCTGGAGGGGTTCAAGGCCAGGTTGGAGGGGGCTTGGAGCAACCTGGTCTGGTGGGAGGTGTCCCAGCCCAGGGCAGGGGGTGGGACTGTATGGTCTCTGACGGTACCTTCCAACCCAAACTATTCTGTCAGTCCATTATTCTGTGATAAGAGTACCCCTAGGTCCTCAAGAAGTTGCTGCTTTGCTGCAAGAGAAAAAAATGACCCTCGTCTGTACCCCATGTGAGCTCAGAGCTGCAGGGGCTGAGCTCTGCTGAGCTCATGGGTCTAAGGAGCTGCAATGGCCCCTTGGGTTGATCACCCTCGCCACCTTCCCCAACTTCAGGAAGGGTCCACAGCCCATTTCCAGCCACAGTTACATTTTTTAGGGTGACAGAGCATCACATCCATGAAGGGTGACCCACAACACCCCCTTGCCAGCCCTTCCTACCTGGTTCAGCGGAGGGGATGGGAGCACACTGCGGGTAACGGCTGCTGCTGACAGCCATGGAGGGCGAGGAGCTCAGAGTGGTGCGAGGGCAGCCAGCATGGGCAGAGCTGCTGCCCCGGCCCCACTTGGCAGGCATGGCTGGGTCCAAGTCCTGCTGCTGGCAGTTCTTCATGTTGTGCAAGGGCGAATCTCCCAGTTGCAGGTGGGTTTTTTCTGTGCCTTTATAAACAGCCCAGCCACTCCTAAGAACAAGGTGAAGGAAATACATCCCTTTTATAATTGCAAGCAAAACTACCTCCAAACAAAGCCACCAACAACCCCAAAGAGCAGTCCAAAGGCTTTTACATTCTGGCAACCTGATCTAGTGGGAGATGTCCCTGCTTACAGCGGGGGTGTTAGGACTGGATGATCTTTGAATCCCAGCGCACAGAGGCAAGAATGAAATCGCCTGTCATTTATGGGACATAGCGGCAGGGCAAGCTTGTTCCCTCTGTCGATGAGGCTCACATGTGTGAGGTGTTGATCCCAATGGGAACAACAGGACGGGACTGTTCTGTTCCAAGGAACTCAACAGAGTTGGGAAATGAAAAATAATAGGTGACTGCTAAGGAATGGTAAACAGAGGGATCCCAAATCCTCCAACCGAGATCATTCTGTGAGTCTTATGAAACTTGATTTCTGGCATATTGGGAAAGGGCTCATTCAAGAGACATAAGTGTTTGGATGGAGTATGCATGTGATGTTCTGTCCTGACCTTCCTGGGACATCTTCAGGGCTGTTTGCTGTGCTCAGCCTGGCAGCTAGATCAGGGAGCAAGCCAGGCCCCAGAGTGGTTGCTCATGCAGGAGTGAGCTTCCCCCCCAGGGGCAGCAGTCAGCACTGGGGGGGTTAGCATGTTCAGCTGGACCCTGGTCAGCTGTAATTCCAAGGTCTTCTGGTGCATTTCCTAGAAAGTGGAAAGCAGCCTAGTAAGATGAGAGTGCTCTGTGTGCAGTAGGTGACAGCTCTGCCACACCATCCACCCTGGGTTCGCAGCTCTGCAGGCAGCTGCTTGGTTTGGGGCAAGTTTGGTCCATCCTGCACCCGTGCCAGATCCGGCACATCCCAGCAGCGTGCCAGAGGCAAGCAGGGCTCAACCCAGGCACCATTGTGGCCTTGATTCTTGGCTGCTTGGGCAAGTGGTGTGGTGCAAGGAGGGTGCTGCCAGCCATGACCCATGGGTCTGCTACCACCCTAGGTTGTCCTCTGGAGGCTGAAGGCTGTGCTTGGGTCAGGCTTGGGTGGGGAGTGCATCTGGTCCACTCCCTTCGGGGTCATTGTCACCTGCTGCCACCTGCTCCCCTTGTGCTTTGTCACACTCTTCAGAGCAGCTTTTGGGCTGGAAATGCTTTTTGGGCTTCTAGAGGTGTGGGGGGTGCTTAGGGCTGAGCCTTCCTCTGGCTCGGGGGTGGAAGGTCTCTTCCTCAACCCCACTTTCTCTTCCTCTCCACTCTGCAGCACTCGACACTGTCACGCAAGTTCGTGGAGGTGATGTCCGAGTACAATGCCACACAGACCGACTACCGGGAACGCTGCAAGGGCAGGATTCAGAGGCAGCTGGAGATCAGTGAGTAAACCTGGAGGGGGGACACAGCTGGTCTGTGCACACCATGGGGCCACAGCCTGCACCAGCTCTTGCTGGGTCAGAGCGGCTCCTGCAGCTGTGCAGAGCTGCCCCGTGGAAACCCAAGGGTGCATGGGGGCTGTGGGAGCAACTGGGACATGGCTCCTGCTGGAGGATAGACACATGGTGGTACCTTGCATTTCAGTATCAAAATACAGACAACAAAGTGCAAAACTTCCCTTCATGGTTTCTTAAATGCTGCATAGAAAGTGCAGAACACAGGAAGGTAATTTTTTTCCTTGTTTGCTGCTGATTTTGAATTCAAAGTAGCTAGGGGGAATTCGGGACTTCCATGTGTCGCCTTGCCTTTCCTCTGAGTGCTTTTCATTGCGGGGGAACTGAACTAAATACAAAACCAGAGAAGTGAACTCTTAAGATGGGGGCACTCACAGGTCCCAGCTGTTTCCCTTGGTGCAGGAGGAGCACAAGCCTTGATGCCTGCCCCAGGCAGCTCCCTGGACCCAGGACTGGGATGGCTCTTAGCAGCAGTAATAGTGTTTTCTGGCTGAAGGTGGACACCAGGTGACACCTCTGAGGCTGTCACCACCGTGACATTAAGATCTCTCTGCATCATTCACAGTCCATCACTTAGGAGAAATCTGCTCTTACCCATCCACAAAACCTTCTCTCCTGGTTGTTCTTCTGGGCAATTGGTGATACCTGTTTAGTTTTAGAGAAATACAGTCATCTCCCAGCAAAGAAGAACCATACCACCACCATCATCAGGGGAATAAGCAAGCAAGGGAGAACATCGGGTACGCAGAGTTTAAAAGATACTTATTTTTGCAAATAATCTCATGTCAGAGAGGCATTGTGCTCGAAATTAAAGAGTCTGAAGCCTAGTCCAGGTGGCTTTTTTCTCACAAAAGAATGAGTGTTTTTATTCCTTTTCACAACTCAGTGTTGTGAAAGGGAATAAGGTAGGAGATCTGTGAGTCAGGATGGTGCCCATTAAGGTCACCTGTGGGAATGTCCTTCATGAACTGCAAATGCCTGGGAATCTGGGTGCTAGTGGAGGATGGTGGTTTCTGTGGAGGACTAGAAGGTGATTTGGCTCTGCAAGTCTTTCCTCTGTTAAGATTAGTCTTTATGATGTATAATAATAATAGAAATGTTTCACACTGGCTGAATGGAAAGGTTGATTGACATGAGGCTCAACAAAAGCTTGATGTAAAGCAGGATGGTGAGTGTGTCCCTGCTCCAGCTGACTGACTCATTCATCAGCTAACATCATTCTGTAGGTGATACCCAGACACAGGGGTGGCTTGTAATGAAAATAGGAATTTAAGATATGCCTATGCCTCCTTTCTAAGAGGGAAGATTTTAAAGGCCTTAGCCAAGTCCTTAGCTATCTGCAGACCTGAAAGAAACTTTCCTCTTGTTTTTTCTACATCTGGATTTTGGAAGGACTCTGCTGCTCTGCTTAAATTATGGAGATACGTTAAATTATACTTGCCTTTGCTCTGTACATTCTGCCAGGTTGTCGGTGCCTGACAGAGCATTGATGGAACACAAGGAAAAGGCTGCTCAACACTCACCGTGGTGCAGTGGATGGGTGCAGAGGAGATGTCCTAGTTAGTGATAGTGAGGGACATGCTTTCACTTCAGGTGTAAGTGTAGAGCAGATGCAGGATGGCGTCCGTGCTGGGAAGGTATAAAATCCTGTGAACAGTCCTTTGAAAAAGCTGGGTTCCTCTGGACATCAGAAAATCTTTTCTGGCAAAAAGGCTTGTGAAAAGCAACAAGCTTATTGAAGTTTTATCAGGAGTGCTCCTCCTGCATTGTCTCGGCCAGCACCTTCAGTCCCTGCTGCTCTGGGGGCTCTTGAACAGGCTCTTTTGAATGGAGCTCAGCTGGGATGTGGCAACTGCACAAAGCTCTCAAATCCTCAGCTCTCATTTTCAGCTGATGAATCCAAAGATAGAAAGTGCCAGGAGCTCTTGACAGTGAAGCAAATAAATCACTCGGGTTTTGAAAGTGTGAGAGCAGGGACTTCTCAGCTGCTCTGGGGAAGCTCCCAGCGACCGGTGAGCTTCTCCCTCCCAACCTCATCTGCTGCTTGCTCTGGAAGTAGGACAGTTGCAGAAGAAATGGTGATGTAGAGTCACTACCACAGCCTGTAGCCACCCCCTGGGGCTCCTCACAGCCCTCTCAGGATCTGCCCCTTCTCCTTGGGTAGGCACTGCCGTGTCTGTGTGTGCCAAAGTTCGTACCTCAGTGGTCCTTGCTATCACCCCTGCCCGTCCAGCATATGCTGAGCCCGGGAGCCTGTCTGACATGGTGAAGTGGGTATCCTCTCCTCTCCCACTGCTTCTGCCCCAGCCTTAATTGTTGCCCTCACCCTCCCACTTACTCACTTTGCTCCCAAATGCACCGGGACCGCATATGCCATGGAGGGATCACAGGATGCACTGTGTCCTAGGGTTGGTGATGGCAGGATAGGTGCCTGGTGGCTGTCTTCTGCCAGGACTGTGCCTCCCCTGCGTCTGCTGCTGGGAGCTGCACTCCCCAGGCATGAGCCTTGCGCTGCCTGCAGTGGGAGATGTCGCTCCTTCATTTTTTTTCGTCTCTGTTTTGTCCATTATGAGAAATGACATATTTAATCTAATTAAGTTTTGCTCCCAGAGAATTTGAGGGATTGAGGGATTTGAGGTTTGGAGGAGCTTTCTGTGGTGGGTGTGCAGCTTTGAAGCCATGGAGTTGCTGCGCAGATGCTGCTTGTTTTTATGAACAGTTCTGTTATGTGTGAGACTGAGGAGCCAAAAATAAAGCATCTGCCTTCTCCAAAGGCACTGTGAGAATTAAGAAGACTGCATGCCACTGTGTGAGACCAACTTAGTGGATGTGCAGAAAGGCAAGCTGTGGATGCACCCCAAGCTACTCTTGAGCCGGGAGAGTCTGGGGGTTACTCCGGCCCCGGAAGCTCCTCTGGGCAGCCTCAGGTGATCAGGACAGGCTTATTTAGGATTCCTGTGACACTTTTATCTCAGGAATGACCACAGGATTTATCTGAGCTAAAAATGTGAAAATGCCTGCACAGTGCTGGAAGTTGGCCGCTGCAGCCCCCTCCGCCCCCGCGAAGCTCAGGCTGAGAAGAAGAGGTCCTGAGGGACTGGGAGGTGGGTGGGTGGCAGTTTGTGACATGCTGGGCAGGCTTTTATAGATGAAGTCTACTCATCCCCACACCACCACAGGCAGTGCTAGACCTGTCTGAGCCGGGAGATGGCCAAGTGGGTTGGGTCACTCGTACTCATTGCCTCTATTTGCATGGGTGAATGGGGCAGTGATATCCATCTCTCCATGAGTTGTATGGATTTGTATCTAATGAGAGCTTGAAAGCCAGATCCAGACAGAAGATCCCAGCCTTCGGAAGGTGCCTTGCACAGAATCACAGAATGTATCCAGAGAAGGAGACTCCACTCCACCTCTCTGGGCAGCCTGTTCCAGTGTTCTGCCAATCTCAAAGTGAAGAAGTTCCTCCTTGTGTTTAGATGGAACTTCTTATGTTCAAGTTTGTTCCCGTTTCTTCTTGTCTTGTCACTGGGCACCACTGAAAAAAGATCTGCCCCATCTTCTTGACACCCACCCAACACCTATTTATAGGTGTTGATCAGATTCCCCCTCAGTCTTCTAAAAAGACCCAAGTCCCTCAGCCTTTCCTCATCAGAGAGATGCTCCAGGCCCCTCATCATCTTTGTAGCTCTCTGTTGTACTGTACCCTCTCCAGCAGTTCCCTGTCCTTCTTGAACTGGGGAGCCCAGAACTGGACACAGTACTCCAGATGGGGCCTCACCAGGGCAGAGCGGAGGGGGCCTCTCCCTTGGCCTGCTGGTCACACTCTTCCTGATGCATCCCAGGATGCCATTGGCCTTCTTGGCCGCAACAAGGGCACATTGCTGGCTCACGGTCATCCTGTTCCCCAACCTGTACTGGTGCAGGGGGTTATTCCTCCCCAGGTGCAGCGCCCTACACTTGCCCTTGTTGAATTTCATCAGATTCCTCTCTGCCCAACTCTCCAGCCTGTCTGGGTCTCACTGGATGGCAGCACAGCCTTCTGGGGTGTCAGCCACCCCTCCCAGTTCTGTGTCATCAGCAAACTTGCTGAGGGTACATTCCAACCCTTCATCCAGGTCATTGATGAAAATATGAAGAGGACTAGACCCAGTACTGACCCGTCGGGGACCCCACTTGTTACGGACCTTCAAATAGACTCTGTGCCACTGATCACAACCCTCTGAGCTTTGTCTTTCAGCCAGGTTTCAATCGACATCACTGTCCATTCATCTAACCTATGCTTCCTAAGTTTACCTATGAGGGTGCTGTGGGAGACTGTGCCAAAAGCCTTGCTGAAGTCAAGGTAAACAATACCCACCACCCTTCCCTCATCTATCCATCCAATCATGCCATCTTAGAAGGCTATCAGGTTAGTCAGACACGATTTCCCCTTGGTGAATCTGTGTTGACTACTTCTGATAGCTTTCTTTTCCTCCAGATGCTTTGAGATGACACCCAGAATGACCCATTCCATCATCTTTCCAGGGATGGAGGTGAGGCTGACCGGCCTGTAGTTTCCCGGGTCCTCCTTCTTGCCCTTTTTGAAGACTGGGATGACATTGGCTTTCCTCCAGACCTCAGCCACCTCTCCTGTTCTCCAGGACCTTTCAAGGATGATGGAGAGCAGCCCAGCAATGACTTCCACCATCTCCCTCAGCACTCATGGGTGCATCCCATCAGGACCCATGGACTTGTGGAACACTTAACTGTTCTCTATCTTGGTTTTCCTCAACCAAGGGGAAGTCTTCTTTCATCCAGACTTTCTCTGTTTCCTCCAAAGTGCATGAAGAACACTTGTCTGGAGAACAAGTCCTATGAGGAGAGGCTGAGGGAACTAGGCATGTTTAGTTTGGAGAAGAGGAAGCTGAGGGGAGACCTCATTGCCCTCT